AGCATATCATAAAAAACGAAATCATGTGTAATGAACTAGTTAGAACATTACCTTTGATTGATGCTTGAAGAACTTGAGCTTTTGAGAATCTTAGCACCTCAACTGTTGTGCCTCTGATGAATCACAAACACCAAAGCAATGGAGAATATTGGAGAGAAAGGGGAAGGCTAAAATTCGGCTCTTAGAACTCTTCTAGGGTTGGTGTAGCCGAATTTAGGTGGCCAAGGGTCCCTTTATATAAGTGAGGAGTTAGGGTTTCAGTCAAACACTTATCCGGTTGCTTAGGCTCTAAGCAGCCCATAAGAATGTTCTGGAATCCCTACCTTAGACGAATTCTAAGGCCTTATCCCCAAGAATTCGTCCACCCCTATCTCTAGGGTTTCCTTACCCTACTTTGCAACTATCCAATAATTACAATATTAGTCCCTTAGCTTTAATTAATATCTTTTGATCACAAAATCAATTCCTAATTAAATTTTGACCAATATTAATTAATCAAATATGATTTCTCCTTTAATATATTATTCATATAATATATTAATAAACCATAATAACCTCTTTCTCTATTATTCATCCAGTCAAGTTGCTTTGGTGAAGGCAACCCAAAAGGACCATGCTACAACCGGGTCAAGTACATACCATATAGTTATGGGCTTAGACACCTAATCCAACAACTACTTCATAGGTTTTACCCTTTTAAGTATGGTTTTTAGTTGAGACTCAACAGTGTTACAATGAGTTCCTATAATCGAGCTTATGACGTTGAAACTCCTCGAGACGATGCTTCATCGGACGTCGCCAAAGTTTAGAAAGTTATGCCTACTGTAACTTGACTGTCAAGGTTGTAGCTAGAAACCGTAGGTGGGGGTTTCGGCCTTGTATAGATCTATAAATACATCTCCCGCTCACTTAATATTTAATGATTATAGGTCGGGGTTAGCTAAAAGATGAATAACATCTCATTTAACAATTGTTTATGTGTAGTTGCATCAGGTACTTTGCTTTCTCTTGTTATGTTAATTATGTTTAGTGTGTGTGTGTGTGTGTGTATATATATATATATATGTATATATATATATATATATATATATATATATATATATATATATATATATATTCCAATAGGATATTCGGGCATAATAACAATGTTATCCCAAAAGTTGGCCAGGGTAACGACTAGGTACAATGTATTTCCTACAGATTTGGCCAGGGTATGTAACGACTAGGTACGATGTTGTATCAAAAGTAAGCCACCATAACGACTAGGTGCGATGTTTTATCAAAAGATAGCTTGTATAACGACTAGGTACGATGTTGTATCAAATTTTTTTTGCAGGGTAACAACTAGGTACGATGTTATCCCTAAAAGTTGGTCAGTTTTACGACTATGTATAATATTATCCATAAAAGTTTGGGGGTATCTATCAGGCATAATATCATCCTAACATTTCTAAGTATAATTAAATAACTAATATTATATATAGTTAGCGATAATTATGAAATTAACAATGTACTACTAAAACATGTATTCCCTCCCCCCACCTAGAAGCATTTGAAAATCGTAAAAGTGGGGTCGTGAATTCACCCTTGAAGCATGCTCTGACTGACTCGAGAATTCGCATCGGGAGGCTCCAACCATTCGGGAGAAGATAATTTCTTCAGGCCGAATACGAGATATGAGAAGGTGTGTTGAGGCGTGAAGAAGTGAAGAGGCAATGGCCTCTATATATAATCGAAGATTTTGGGGGTGCATGGCATCATTGGAATACGCATCGCACAAGCGCATGTTGGCACTATCTAGAGTTGACACATGTCATATTCTCTGTTGGCCATGTCATCCAAATCCTCATTAATCCAGTGCCAAAACATGCATCGCGCATAGCGTGCGAGCGTGCGCGCTCAGTCTTGTAAATTGCGCACTTTCCGCATACGATTTCTGTTTTCGACGTTCTTTATACCCACGCGAAGGTCTTGATGTGTGCTACAACTTTTTTTTAGGTTGTTTTGGCTAATTCTAACTTTTATTTTTAGTCTATATTTTTTATACCCTTAATGATTTTACAAAAATCATAACTCTCTCATATGGGTTCTATTTTTGGCATTCTTTGTCCCAAAATTCTTATTTTGAGGAGTACTACAATTTTCCTTTTGGTTATTTTGGCTAGAAGTCAAATGTTCTCTTCCTAACTTTTTACGTTATAACTTTTAATGCGCGTTTGATTCTTTATATCTTATGGAAATTGTATATCTTTCAGCCAAAGGCAGACTTTCACAAATTTTATGTTTTCGAAAATGTGTTGATACTTACATTCCAAATATGTTTTCAGGTTTGTAGGGTGTTACGACCTTTTGTGTTCCTGGTTCTTGATTTTATTGTCTAATTGGTGGCCTATTTTCGAGTATGAGATTTCGAAATTGTTTGATGTTATTAGATGTTGTAAGCTCATTCATTTACGTTCATGTGTGTCGTTGTTCTGGGTGGTGACGTATTTTCCTTGGTTGTCACATCAGTCGGTGACCACTTGACCATTTGACCAGTCCATGCTCTTATTCATGCATTTGACCAGTTCATCTCCTTCCTTCTTTTTCTTAGTTTCTTCTCCTTCACTTACTTCATCTACTTCTTTCTTCTTCTGTTGTTGCATCCAACACAATAAAATATGGTCATGTGCGACTGTGGAAGCATGGAAATCATCAGGACTTCCATCACTAAGAATAATCTCGGTAGGGAATACTATGCTTGCCCGTATATGGTACTACATTCTCAAGAAACATTTAGGTTTTTTTCAATTCTAACCAAGTTTTTGCTAATTGATGATATTGAATCTACAAAGACCTAGGAGTGGGTTTCTTTTGTGGGTTGATGAGGTTGAAAATTATGCGCATGTTGTTGAAGTCCAAAATCAAACCTTAAGGGAAGTGGTTATCCAAAATTGGGGCCCGAAGATTTGCTTGAAGGAGGTGGTAAGCCAAAATCGGAAGCTGAAGATTTGCTTACTGCTTAGTTGGGTTTTGTTTTTGGCATAATTATTTACATAATTTGTTGTATGTTAGAACTAAATTTGTTATGGATTTCTTGGTTTTTTGGCAAAATCGGAAGTGATAATCTCATTGTCCTCAGCCTCCTTCTTTCCTCTCAGTGACGACACCAACAAGCAATCGGAAGTAAACTGATAATCAAAACTTATAACCTCAAAATCGGGACTGATAATCTCGATTGCAAAATTGGAATTCCGTGATTTTGACTTTTACATTCTCAATTTGACTTTGAAATAGCAAAATGTTACGTAACAGGGAACTGAAACTTGCTACTAAAGGTAGATGGCCTAAAAAGAGAGGTTACTAATAACTTTGTTCACTTAAAAAGCATTAACATAACATAAGGGAGTAAATAAGCAAATGTACAAAACATTATAGGGCTACAGTGTCATTTCCCCTTAAAACTAGTAATAAACAATTAAGTGGTTGTTTGTGTAGCTTTAATCTCATTGTAAATACAAAATCATATGTTTTTACACTTTCGAGCTTATTATAAGTATTGAACATAGTTGGGAATACTTGTAATAAACGTAGTGCAACTTTTTAGTTAAAACTAAAATCTTATTTGGATTAAGTTAGTAAAGTGTATTTTAGTTAAAGAGTTTGTTTTAACTAAATAATTTGACGAGTAAATTACACGAATTGTTTATTTCGTTTGGTCAAATATGTTAGTTCCATCCCGATGTTTCCACTTAGACCGTACCTTGTTATTTTGAAACTTACACATTTTATCCCTACAAAAAACTGACTAAATCGTCCTTACTTATTTTTATTTTATTTTATTTTTTTGTTTTCTATTATTTATAACTTTAAAATGGAAATAAGGCCCACCAAGCCCCATCTTATCTCACTATCTTCCCCAGTCCCTTTTGTGAACACTAAACCCCACATCATCCATCATTCATCATCGGTTCATAATCTTTTTCACCAACCACCACCTTCTCCATGACACTATCACCAGACCACCATTTTCACCTTCTCAACGCTGCCTTCACACCCTATACCATCATCAGACGCAACACTACACTAGGTATGAGTGTGGGACGGAACCGATACCGTTCCCGATTTTCTAAAAATTGAGTTTGATTAAAAGTCAATTCCGAGTACCGAATCGAATTAACATTACAATTTTTGGTACGAGCAACGGTAAACCGAATCCTAAATTTCATTATTTTAGAGTATTGAGTACCGTCCAATATGTTTAAATTTGGTACCGGTATGGGATCGAGATTTGATACTAACTGCTCATCCCTACACTACACTATCATCGTTGCCATTGTTTACCATCATCTCCAAGCCACCATCAAGCTCATACCATCATCGTCTTCTTCTTCACGTCACCGTCACCTCTATGTACATTGTTGTCGGAATCCTCTAGACACTGACCACCCCTCTTTCACATTCCACGACAACCTACGACCACCAAAATCGAGTTTTTGAACCCCACGACCGTTGTCTGTTAAAGGTAAAATAGTCTTTTTAAGTCTATCAAGGACAAACAATGCAAGTTTATAACTAATTAGGAACGTTTCGAATGAAAACAAAACATAGAGACGAAACTAGCAAATTCGGCCAAACCACAAGGAGAATTCATGTAATTTACTCTAATTTGACAAATAAAATAACATTAGATCTTGTTATGGTTGCAAGATAGATGAATAGAACATGTATTTGGAATTGTTTCCAAACTTGATTTATAAGAACCTAAATTGTACTGCATGCTCCTTGTAAGTATTTGGAATTTAAAAACTTATAATTCATATTTTCATATGTTATTACAATTTCACTTAAGTAATTACTAAATCAAAACGAAAAAACTCAAATCAACTTTGTTAAAAAATATATATCTCATTGAAGCAAAAAAACCACAGACCTTTACAGTTTACACCATTGTTGATCTGGAAAATGACATAAAACTGCCTCAATGTATACATATAAATCTACATTTGATAATTTGCAAGGCAGTTCATTAACACTTGACCTCCTATACCAAAAGACTATGCAAATTGCAAAATATAAAACACATACACAAAACAAGTTATATAATAAATCAATCAGGAGAGAAATAATTATAACATTCAGGAAGCCTCCACCATCATCGTTAGATCTAACTCTTCATCTGAATCAATCACATCCTCAAAGTCATAGTACGGGTTCACCTACACCCGATTATTTTATCACCTTTTGTTTCTTATAAATTATAATCTTTAAAAATAAACACCTTATTTATTTATTGTACCTTAGGTCTTGGTGTTATGGCTTCAAAACTATGAAAGATTGGGGTATCAAAATTAGGGGATTCCAAGACAATGTATGCCCCTTTGTTTTTGTACCTCTCCTCTGCTGCCTAACAAATGAACAAAACATATATATATATATTAACATTAATTATCATATGAGTTATAAAGTTTGCATTTTTACCTAAATTTTATATACCATAATGTAAGTAGATCAAAGAAATTTATGAACATACCTGAAACTGTGGATAATCTGGAGCACTAAAGACAGTAATTAGTTTCCCAGATTCAACAACATGATCTATTGTATACCCTTCATCCATTCCTCCAAGACCAGGTCTTTTTTCCCTTGCATCAGGACCTTCATGAGATCTAATAATTAACTGCAATAAATAATAATCATATGTTATTTTTATGATTTTATATCCATCATTACCTTAAGATTGTTTTTATCAGTTGAGAAATATGTATAGATGAAGGAAAGATTGATAGCATTACCTTAAGATTGTTTTTCTTTAAGAATTCTTGTGTGTAGTCTGGGCCCCACAAAAGGCCAATACCTCTTTCTTTATTTGGAGATAGGCCTGGTTTCATTGAAGGATCAGACCATAAAACATCTCCAGGAATCAAATTATGGCCTTCCCATGGAGGATCAAGAACAGATCTTCTAGCTTTCAGTAATTCATCTAATGAGCCAAGAGATAAGGGAAGTGAGTCTGGATTCAGTGTGACTTTTCGGTTCTTCTTTCCTTTGGATCTTTTTGATGGGGTAGAAGGAATATTACGAAAAACCCCACCATGTGCTGTGTAAACTTGTCCTGCTATAATGGAAGCAAGAGGAAGTCCTTCAAAACATCCTAGACATTTTCGGTATACGTGTTTTCCATCCTTTTTTTCACCATATTTGGCAAGAACTTCCTTTTCAAATCCATAAACTGAGGTGCAGTATTTGGATTCATGATTCCCACGAAGTAGGAAAACTCTTTGTGGCATAAACACCTACAAAACATGCCATATCAGGATAGATTTAGGATCTTGAATCTTCTATACAAAATCTAACATTGAATATGAACATATTAGGTATTACTAAGGGTATGATGGAGTTACTAATATGTTACACAAGAGACTTGCATTGAATTAACTAAAGTATTTGACATACATACTATATAAAGCACAACATATCATCCAAGAATTAACTATAAGAAACTAAACAGATTATACATTTTAAACTGTATCTATAAAAACCAAGATGAAATTAGCCATGGAGAAATAGAACTCTAGATTAGATTGGCTTGTTTCTTTTGCAGGACATCTAGCAGAAGCTTTACTTATCTCCATAGGAGCAATGGGAAAATGTAACAAGAAGCTTTACTTATCTCCATCTGAGAGGAAAAGACTATTCCTTTGTATTGATGTAAGGAAATTGAGGTCCATTAAGTATTACTTACTTTCCAAGCTAGCAAAAGAAGAAAAGTTTCAAGACCCCAAGCTCCTCTGTCAACATAATCGCCATTAAACACAAAGAACCTATTTTCAGATGGAAGCCCGGCATCTTTCAACAAAAATAACACATCATGCAACTGCCCATGCACATCTCCTACAACGACCACACTCGATCCCACCACACCATCACTACCAGGTTCAATCGGAATCCAATTCGGCTCTTTATGTAAGATCTTCGACGCGGTGAGCACGAGAGCGTCGAAAACTTCCACCGGCAGCACCGTAGGGAGTTCCGACGGCCTGAGGTTCTTGGATGCCCAATCGAAGGTTGACATGAGGTTTGTGACCCAATCTAGGGTTAGAGCACCACCAGACGGCCATGTAATGGGGATCTGAGGACGATTTTGAGAAGGAACAGGGGAGGGAGAGGGTTTTTGGTTGTCGTCGGATAAGGATGGGGAGGAGGCAGAGCCAGAGGCACATGCGAGGGAAGCGGAAGAGAAGAGATCTTCGGAGGAGGATGACGGCGGTGGTGGTTCACCGATGGCGGATTCCGGCGTCGCAAGTGGTAATGATTCAGTAGAATCCGGTTGTGATAACATTTAGCTGTCGATGATCGCCGATTAACAAACGAAATTGTGCAAAGTATAAGTGAAATTGTTGGATGCTCCGATCATAAAAATCAGATGCCAAAATAAATTAAAAAGAACAAAATGAATGGATTGTGACGTGTTTGTGTGGTGTGTCAGAGCCTCGTCAACAACCCAACTTGAGAATTTTCGTTTCCTTTTGGTCTTTGGGAAAATAGTCATGGCCAGGTCATGCATGCAATCATGACCCAAACTCGAAGCTAATAAAAATAGTTAACTTTTAATTTTTACAATGTTTTTTTAATCAATATCGTAAAATTGGTCTTTCTGTAAGGTATGTGATGCGACCTAGGCTCCGACCACTTAGGTTGCTGGTAATGGTCGCCCAGGTCCGGTCCAAGTTAATTTGAGGCCCAGAGCAAAAACAAAAAATGATAATACAATGATGTCTATAAACACGAGTATATAGGCACTTGTTATATATATATATATATATATATATATATATATCCCTATCTAATAAATAAATATGGTTAATCTTATTCTGCAATGTGTCAAACTATTAAATCAATATCACGCCACGTGTCATTGTTTTTGTTCTCCAATTAAGTGATATTTAGCAAATTTTGTTACACTTACTATCTTTACATTTTCAAGAAATTCAAGAAATATTAATGTAGTAGACTTTGAGATTTTTCAACGTCACGAAAATTAAATTATAATATATGTTTATTTTAACAACTTAATTTTCTAAATTTTTTGATTTATATATCAATTTTAATTTTGTAACCGTGGTTCCCACGGGTTATAAACTAGTATATATATATATATATATATATATATATATATATATATATATATATATATATATATATATATATATATATATATATATATATATATATAGTGAGGTTCAATAGAGAACCATAATTAACCAAGGAACCAATCTTTTTTTCAATTTTTAGAACTTACTTTTTATCAAAAAAAAAACTAAAAATACAGAAATTCATAACTTTTTATCCTTTTTCCAATGATATAAAATTCGATTTTTTTTTACGTCAAATTCACAATGTGAATCTTTGAAAATTCACAACGTGAATCCGGATTCACACGGTGAATCCGAAAAATATTTTTCACATTCACAATGTTAATATATGCATTTAGATATTTTTAGATTTTTTTTTCGATTAAAAATAAGCTCTAGAAATTGAAAAAAAGATTTGGTTCCTTGAAGAATCAATAATTATGGTTCTCTATTGAACTTTTTCATATATATATATATATATATATATATATATATATATATATATATTATATATATATATTATAGTATCGTTAAAGGATATGAGTTAAAAAAAGCCAATGACAAAACAAAATAAAAAACGAACAATAGAACAACCGACCCATTTTGAAAAAAAAAACCGTTTTGGTGTTTGGAAAAAAAACAAAAAAACAAATTATATTTTGGTGAAAACTAAAAAAAAAAGAGAAGAAAAAATAAAAAGAAAAAACGACCTACCTAACGGATAGGTTACCATGATTTTTGTTAACAAATCTATACACAATAGTTATTATATATTAAGAGACTACGTAAGATACGAATTTTTGATATGAAATGAGTGTTTTAGTGGTTTATAAAAATAATATATTAATAATAATCAAATGACCATTTTTATAACATGGTTGGTTTGTGAATAATAAGAACGTAGGGGCTATTTTTTTAATTTAGATTTCAATTCAACAAATCAGGTATAGGATTCAAATATAAATTCTTTAAAGTGATGCATAAAATAGATTGATAGTAAGATGTTACTCACCATAATCAAAGTAATACATAAAAAAAGATTTTTTTTTATCATCCTCCTTTGATTATGCTAAAATAGAAAGTAATAAAAGAAAAAAGAGGCCTCCTATTTTTCTCCAAAGTAATTTGGTTATGATAAAAAAAGAAAGTAATAAAAGAAAGAGGGCCCCTATTTTCTCCAATAGAATAATAAAAGAAAACAAATTCATATTACCCATAAAAACGCATACGAGAATCGAACCCGGAGGTTACAGCTGACGCGCCTAAATATAGAATCCTAACCAACTCAGCTAGGGAAATCTTTATTTTATTTTTAACAAAAAGTATATATATATATAGTATCAAACGGAATTAATTTTGGGGCCCCAACCCAGAACGAGGCCCGGGGCCGTCGCCCAACTTGCCCACCCTATTGGGTCGGGCCTATGGTCGCCGGAAAGAAACCTGAAAGGTCACAAAGAAAGGAAAACTGTCAGTCGCTCTCCGGGAGGAGGTCCCGGAAAAACGCTCCGACAGTCAAGTCAGTAGAGTGAATGAGTGTAGACGCTAAGGATTCGGGAATGATAGCTTACCCATCAAGGCAAGGTGAACGTCCTTTTATACTGAGGATCCTCCTCTATCAGCATGAGAGACAAGGACCTGCGATCCCGACAAGATCTGCCGTCCTTATCGGTGGATCGTGTTACTCGTAGTGTCAGAGCTAACAATTGGCTCAGGCGATAATGCTCTGGATGTGCCTTTTGCCGCCTGGAGCCGTTGTCTTTGGACTGTAGCGAAGGACAACGTTTGGCGAGGGCGAGGCTCTTGCACGGTCGCCCCGTTAGAGTCCCTGGCGGCCAGGGTTGCCGAGTCGGGCTTGGTCAGGCCTCGCTGGGAATTCCTCGCTGGGGACTCTCTTACTTCTGGCCCGCTCTGAGGGGCGTGTCATCAAGTCCCCCAGTCCAGTAGTCATAGTGTATACTAGCTAGCTATGATGTTCTGGACTTAACTGCCGGTATACGTGTCGTGCTTTCATTTGGACATCGCTTCATTTTTCGGTGATGTGACCGCTCGTCGTGCGCGGCGATTACGTCAGCCATGTCAGGGATTTTCGTAAATCCCGCTCTTTTTTCCCCTTATAGTTTGTGAGTAGATTTTTCCTAGTTCTTATCTTCTTTTCTCGTTCCCTTCTCTTTTCTTTTTCTCCTTGTATCTCCTTTATGGCTTCTTTCATGAGTTTGATCCCCAGTTCCTCTAAATTCGCCACTCTTCAGGAGGCATATGGCCTTACTCCGGCCGACGTAGTGGAGTTCCCGGTTGCTGGAGCTTCAATCACTTCGCCGTCGCCTAGGAAGGAAGGTGTCTATCAAAAAACCTTCGACGTCGGCCTTCGTCTTCCCCTGACCGATTTCCAAGAGGAAATACTCTGACGCAGTGGATACAGTGTTCAGATGTTGACCCCTGGTGCCGTCCACAAGATAGTAGCTTTCGAAATGATATGTCGGGCTAATGGCATTATTCCTGACTACTTCGTCTTCAAGTTCTTCTTCCGATTTGTTGCTACTAACGACAAGTACACCTTTTCTGCCCGTCGGGGTGGTCATAATCTCGTCCTTGACAACAAACCGCCAAAGAATTGGCAGGACAAGTGGTTGTGGGTCAACCAGGAACTGCTCGGCCGAGAATACCATCGGGCGAATGCTCTGTCAGATGTTACTCCCAAAATGTTCCCTCATAACCAAGCGACTGTTGACTTCTTGCGCACTCTCCAGGTGGACATTGATACAATGTCTGAGGCGTTACTTGTTGGGGTTGGGATGAGTCCTAGTTGGCGTGCCCGGAGGGAGATGTTTGTCTTCTACACTGTCTCTAATGGTGAGTTGTTTTTTCTTTTTCTCCTTTTCCCCTCCCCCCCCTTTTTTGGGGGTAGGGAATGCTTTGTACTTGCTCTTTCTGCTTTCTTGTTTCATCGTTATCATTTTTCCTTTATGTTTGGTCTTTGTTTTACAGGTACGGAATGCTCTATTTCCATGGACTCTGTTCTGCGAAAGCAATATCAGGGGAAATTGGAGCATCGGGTGGTGCCTTTGTATGAGACTCTGCCTCCGCCCTGTCGCTTGAGTGTCTCTAATGTGGTGCCTCCACAGCCCGTAGGGAGCTCTACCACGTCGGGGAGCCATCCGGTTTCCAATGCTACCTTGATTCCCATCGTGCTACCTCGCCCGTCCAGCGAGCCGCCCACCGATGGTGTGGTGGATAGTAAGGATGGGATCATTGCCAACGTCCGTCGAGCTGCAGAGAAACGGAAAGCTGCTCAGGCAATGAGTGGTCCAGCGCCCGAGGGCAGTTCTGGTCAGATTAGCCGGTGTGTGGTGCAACGCCGTGGGCTTATGCGTTTATTATCTGCTGCGTCGCCACACTCCGAAGATGTGTTAGTGATACCCGATGATGACGTTCAACAGTCTGAGGGTATCGAGGGGGCGTCTCAACATCCCATTGTTCCTGATCCAATTGCTTTGAGTCGTGGTGTTAGTTCTCAGTCTTCAGGGGATAGTGTTGAGCGGTTGCTTCACAAGCCGGCTACTGCAAAGATCCCTCATGGTGTTCATGTCTTTGTCCCGGGGTGGAATCTCCGCCCTGATTCCCGCCTGTCCGTCCGTTCTGCCGCCTTGGAGTTTACTCATCATGCCCTTCTTCCTGCTACTGTCGAGGATATGGACTCTATGAACAATGTCGCCCTTGCTCATAACCTTGCTTATGCTGCTGCGTAGGCCATGACTTACTTGGATGCCGATCTCGGCGTGTTCAGCGCCTCAGCGATTTGGAGCATGCATACTCTGCCTTGGTGGCTAGTGAATCGAGTCTGAAGGGCGAGGTGACAGACCTTGGTGCTACTGTTCATCGATTGAATCAGCAGAATAAGTCATTGGTGTCGGAGAAACTGGTGTTGGAGGATGTTCGAAACGCTTTGGAGGCTCAAGTGGAAACTCTAACCCAAGCGAATGAGGGTTTAATGATACAGAATGAGAGCCTAGAGTGTGATCTTGTCGACCGTGAGCGTGAGTTGGAAATGTTGAAGGCTGATCGCAGTTGGCTACTCCAGGTTGGACTCGTGCGAGTGATGGATAAGCTCATAGATCACCCTGAGTTTACCGGGCGTATCAGTCGCATTCGCCACGCGGCGTTTGTTGCAGGTGAAGAATCAGTTCGGGCTAGTTTAAAGGCGCAAGTTGATGCCGGAACTTATGATCCCTCTGCCAGCGATTCTCGTTCGAGTCACTCCTCGGCCCTAGACGATGCTCTCCTGGCTTTTGCGACTATGGACTTTGTCGGTTTACTTGGACTGGGTCAGCCGGATGTAG